CTTTTTTTTCATTCATTCAAAAGTGCTGAATTTAGATAAAATCCTACTGCATCTGTCAGTAGCACAGAGGAGAGGGCAGGGAGCTACGGTTAGAGCTCTTGTACAGTGTGTGAGAGCTGACTGGAGGAAAGGGACACCCTCCCCCTTCACACGGCACAGGATTGAAGGAACCATGCAGAGCTGTGTTGTGAATAGATAAGTTGTGTGCTGAGCTCTCCTCCCCATCACCATTTTATGTCTGGTGTCCAGACAACTTGTCAAAAGAGACACATGCTGATCATAGAAGAACGAATCACCAGAGAGAAATGACATTCAGAGCTTTGGAGAGAGCAAAATAAATACTACAGATACAGTGCTCAGCATAATGAGTACACCCCTTTTGAAAAGTAAGTTTTTAATCAATATCTCAACAAACACAAGAACAATTTCCAAAATTTTGACAAAACTGAGTTTTATAGAACAATTGTTTAACTTATTACATCAAAGGAAGGTTAATAATATAACTTAGATCACAAAATCTTCAGTTTTACTCAAATTAGTTGATGCCAAAATGAATACACCCCACAACAAACTACTACACCTATTTTGTATGCGCCAGACCAGGGAAGGAAAGGGACACCCAGGGATAGTACTCAGGCACCTACCTACCTACTCATGTGCATCCACAGCCCTACAGAGCGGGTTTGCCAATCATTATCTGCATCCACACTCCCCAGGGATAGAGCACAGGTTCGCTGGTCATCATCTGTAGCCACAGTCCTACAAAGCGGGTTCCACAATCACCATCTGCTTCCACAGTCAAACATAGTGGGATCACTGGACCTCAAGCCACAGATCCATCAGGAGCCCTTCCACTTTCTGTACCCACAGCTGAAATGCAGAATTGGTGAGAGGGTTACCAGCTCGCCTCACACTGTGCATCACAGAACAGAGCAAGAACAGAACAGAGGAAGACTCTAGTTAGCACAGTTTACCATCTGGTCTCTTAGGCATTACAGTGCTTAATGGTGCATATCGCCAAGAAGTGCCATACCACTTGCATTGGATTACCCTAATAACTTAGAGCCACTTAACCTCTTTCTGCATTTGTTACTAGTACTCATTACTGTTAAAGGATAAGTTCACCTTTGGGAACACGTTATGTGTTTAGGGTGGAACACGTAATATGTTTCCATAGCTGCAGATGTGCCCGCCACCCCCTCCCTCTGACAGATAATACGGGGAGAAGTTTCCCTTCCCCATACTATCTGTCAGATTTGAAAACAGCGCATTCTGTGAATGATTGCCTACAGGTCCCGGCAGCCTTAGCTGTCGGATAGTTCATTGAAGCTTCCTGTCAGAATATCTGCTTGCTCGTACATCCCGTATGGCAAGCAGTTATTCTGACAGGTCTGCAGGAGACCTGCATGGCATCAGTGATCTGCTGATCACTAGTACAATGCTTTCCAGGCTCCTGCAGACAAAAATAATAAATGCATATTTTTTTACCTGTAAAAAAATGTGCATTTATTATTTTTGTCAAAAAGGTGAACTTATCCTTTTTAAGTTTGTTTGACTTCCTCCAAGCAGAAATCTTTTTCAAGCTCCTTTCCCCCTAAACTGGGAGTGGGTATCAGGAAGCCAATTAGCATCATCAATAGTGCATCACTAAAAGGTTCCAATCATGTTGGCAGAAATACCTATTTTTTCCCTTTTTTGGAGATTGTCCCTTCCTATCTCACAGTACTTACATAAAGTTTAGCAATTCTCCACCTTGCTGAATACGGATGCCCTGTAGGAAGTCTTGGTCTAGGCAGAGTCACCCCAGGGCCTAAAGGCAGAAAAGCATCCAGGGGTTTATAGTATCAGTTTCAGGCTGCCATTACGTTACTCTGGGTGGCTCTGTTGTAGTTTAAGCTGATTGGTAATAAGAACCTGGGCCCAGTTACTTGTAGCATTGTTTCTTGCACATAAATTTTGGTATAGAAGTACTGTGTAGAAGTTTGTTTTGTCTTATTTTGGTTACAGTTTGTATTACTCTGCTTCATTTTACCAATTTATTATCAACACAGATAGCATTTACCTAATCTGGTTCTTTCCGTAGAAAGGGATGTGTCAGAGAGGTAAGGGCGGAGGTGTGCTATCTGAAGGAAGAGATTACGTTTTAGAGGGCTCATCAAACCAGCACTTTCAGTGCTGGAAGTTCTGTATCAATACCTAATATCCCAATAAAAAAGCTGATGTATTTGGGATAGTATGCTTTTAAGTATTTACCAAAGAATAAGTAACTTCTGGGTAACCACAACTTTGGGTTTTTAAAACGTTTCTATTTCCTAAACTGCTCCTATTTTCTAGATCCTAGAGATCATTTAAATGAATGAAGGCAAGCCGGCCATTAACACTTGCAGCTTTTTCCCTTCCTTTGCAAGTGCTGCATAATATTTCATAGTTCCTTAATCTCAGAGTGATACTGGCCTGTGAAATCCATTTAAAGGACTATTGTTCTCTCTTGGCTCTGCTATAAATTATACAGGACTCTGAAGTTCCCTCTAAGTATTTCAAATTCTGCACTATCAATTTTGAATGATTTTGTCATTAGAAAAAGATTATGCCGCTGTTAAGATTTAATATTTTATGATAACTTTCCCTCTATTTCAGGCTGCCGAAAAGCAACATAGCAAGTCTCTCGAGAACATTTAAGTGACGAATGTTTCTCTTAGATTCTCTCGGGGGGGACTGGTTCTTCTTGTATCTCCACTGAAAACCTGGGTAATTGGAAGATCGGACACAGTGTATAACAGGATTCGCCAGTGCTAGCGGTGGTTGTGTTATTCCAGCAATAACCTGCTATCTGCACTGTGATCACAAGTTTTGCTGAAGGACACGACATGCTCTGTACTTGCTAAAACACAGGTTGCCCATTATAGGACTACACTGTACATCCCATGCTGCTGGAGGCACATAACACAAAAGGAATTTTACCAGGGCTGTCAAAATAATACTTTGCAACTTTTATCACTTGGTGGAATCTTTGCCTGAATATGTTTTTTTTAACATGCATATTTCTATATTTTAGATCACAGGAAGTCAAATCCCAACCATCCAAACAAACCATAGTCAGAAGAAAGCATGGCAGCACGTCAGTATAGTTATAATTTGGGTAAGACAGAGAAACAACTTTGTTTTCCTCACACTCAAAGCATTAGAGCAAAAAATAGAATTACTATGCTTTCCAAATCAATACAAAATGTATTCTTTTCAAGATTTTACTTGACAGCAATTTGAAGAAGAATTCTGAGAATAGGGCTGGTAAATTAAAGCAGTATTTTAAACCAAAAAACATTATATTGCAGCTTACCAATTCTTTTGATGTGACGGCTACATTAGTTTTCTTTTTAGGCTATCTTTCTTTTATTTTTATCTGATGATCCAGCCAGTAAGTCTGTTGTTTTTCAAAAGAACAAGCTGTACTGCAGATGTTGCAGTTGGAGGGATGAGACCATTTACCCCTTACAATGATCAGCTATTATTTACCGTATTTTCCGGCGTATAAGACGACCCCCTACTTTTCCTGTTAAAATATAGTGTTTGAGCTATACTCGCCGTATAAGACTACCCCTCTTCCAACGCACACCAAAATGAAAAAACATCAGATTTGATTTCAATATGGTATGCTATTTCAGTATGGTATTCCAATGATGGGGTGCTATTCCTCCCACTGACACCAATGATGGGGCACTATTTCATCCACTGACACCAATGATGGGACACTATTCCTCCCACTGACACCAATGATGGTGCACCATCATTAGTGTCAGTGTGTGAGGAATAGTGCCCCATCATTAGTCAGTGGGAGGAATAGTGCCCCATCATTAGTCAGTGGGAGGAATAGCGCCCCATCATTGGTGTCAGTGGGAAGAATCGTGCCCCATCATTGGTGTCAGTGGGAGGAATAGTGTCCCATCATTAGTGTCAGTGGGAGGAATAGTGTCCCATCATTGGTGTCTCCATCATGGGGTGTCAGTGGGAGGAATAGTGGCCCATCATTGGTCACCCCATCATTGTGTGGAGGAATAGTGGCCCATCATTGGTGTCAGTGGGAGGAATCATAGCACCCCATCATTGGGAGGAATAGTGCCCCATCAGTGGGGGGAGAATCATTGGTATCAGTGGGAGGAATAGCGCCCCATCATTGGTATCAGTGGGAGGAGGAATAGTGGCCCCATCATTGGTAGCGGCCCATCATTGTGGGAGGAATAGCACCCCATCATTGGTCATTGGTATCAGTGGGAGGAATAGCGCCCCATCATTGGTATCAGTGGGAGGAATAGTGCGCCCCCCATCATTGGTATCAGTGGGAGGAATAGCCCCATCATTGGTGTCAGTGGGAGGAATAGTGCCCCATCATTGGTGTCAGTGGGAGGAATGTGTATCATTAGTGGTGGGAGGAATAGTGCCCCATCATTGGTGTCATTGGGAAGAATAGTACTCCATCATTGGTGTCAGTGGGAGGAATAGCGGCCCCATCATTGGTATCAGTGGGAGGAATAGCCCCCATCATTGGTATCAGTGGGGGAATAGCGCCCCAATAGTGCCCCATCATTGGTGTCAGTGGGAGGAAAGCGCCCCATCATTGGTATCAGTGGGGAGAATAGTGCCCCATCATTGGTATCAGTGGGAGGAATAGTGCCCCATCACTGGGTGGGAGGAATAGTGCCCCATCATTGGTGTCAGTGGGAGGAATAGTGCCCCATCATTGGTGTCAGTGGGAGGAATAGTGCCCCATATTGGTATCAGTGCCCCATCATCAGTGGGAGGAATAGTGCCCCATCATTGGTGTCAGTGGGGGGAAGTGATCATTGGTGTCAGTGGGAGTGCCCCATCATTGGTATCAGTGGGAGGAATAGTGCCCCATCATTGGTATCAGTGGGAGAATAGTGCCCCATCATTGGTATCAGGGGGAATAGTATCCCATCATTGGTATCCGTGGGAGGAGGAATAGTGCCCCATCGTTGGTGTCAGTGGGAAAGAGGAATAGTGCCCCATCATTGGTATCAGTGGGAAGGAGGATTAGTGCCCCATCATTGGTATCAGTGGGGAGAACAGTGCCTCATCGTTGGTGTCAGTGGGGGAGGAACAGTGCCTCATCGTTGGTGTCAGTGGGGGGAGGAACAGTGCCTCATCGTTGGTGTCAGTGGGGGAGGAATAGTGCCCATCGTTGGTGTCAGTGGGGAGAGGATCGTTGCAGTGCAGTGCCTCATCGTTGGTGTCAGTGGGGGAGGAATAGTGCCCCATCGTTAGTGTCGTTGGTGTCAGTGGGAGAGGAGCGGCTCAGTGTGGGAGAGGAGCGCCTCCTCGCCGGTGATTGGTCGCTTGTGTGCCTTTCCAGTGCTGGCGCCCAATCACCGGTGAGGAGGCGGAGCCGAGCGGCCGCATGACCATCGAGCGGCCGAAACTGAAAGAAGGAGCAGCTGCGCTTCCTGGACCGGATCGTCGTGGGACCGGAGCCAGGTAAGGTACAGCAGCCCCTCTGTCCACCCCTGTACTTAGTGTCCGTTGGAGGAGGAGGGGGGGTGGCGCTGCGCCGCCCCTCGAAAAAGTGCCGCCCTGACACTGGCTCGCACCGGCGTATAAGACGACCCCCGACTTTTCAGAAGATTTTCAGGGGTTGAAAAGTCATCTTATACGCCGGAAATATACGGTATGTAAAATCTTTATCCCAAAAGGAATACAACTGTTACTGTAACTGCGTATCCACTTTACTACTGCAATACAGCCGAATGACGGCTGTAGTAGTCCAGTTCTGGGAGGGCGTCATATAATGTCCTAGAATGCGCCCCCAGCGGCGTGCGCCATGTGCTGTCCTTGAGCGTCCCCCCTCCCTCCGCTTTCCGCTGCTCTTTTGTGATCTCCTATCCCACCGGGGGACCTGAGCAACCAGCCGGCATGTCCGCCGGCTGGGCAGACAGCCGTACAAAGCCAGGATCAACTTTGATCAGCTCTCCGTTAAAGTAACTTGGTAGCAATGACCTGATATCACTTCCTGTTCACTCAGAGCTAAACAGCGCCACTTTTTAAAATATGAAAGCATTCAAAACACCAATCTTGGACCCCAGATCCCTCCATAAAGAGTACCTGTCAAGGGATGTTAACATTCCTTGAGACTACAATAACAGTGATACAAAAAATACATTTAAAGCAACAGTGTAAAAAAAAAAAATGAAAAGAAAAAAAAATGTAAAGTGCACCTGTCCCCCATACCCATGCGCAAAGGTGAAATGCACATGTCAGTCCTGAGCACACGCAAACAGCAATTGTACCTCACTTGTGATATATCACTGCAAATGTCAGATCATGGGCAGTAATTTTAGCACTCGACCTCCTCTGCAAAACTAAAATGGTAACCTGTAAAGGCTTTTAAAGCTTTGACTATGGATTATAAAATGTACGTCATTTATTGCGTGTGCATTCTGTGTTGTGTTTTTTTTTTGCATTAAAAATGTATTTTTTTCTTGAAAATTGCATTTGAAAAACCGCTGCACAAATACTGTGTAACATAAAAATTTGCAAAACCCTAGGGCATCTGCTTTAAAAATGTATAATGTTTGGGAGTTCTAATTTTCTAACAAAAAATATTGATTTTTACATGTAAATAATAGTTTCAGAAAAAGGCCTGGAGGTCAAATGGTTTAAAGACAATTGGCAGCTCAGTTTTAGATGTAAACACAAAGCATGTCTCCATGATTAAAATCACTGCTCTCCTTAGGCGTGCAAGGTGGATGGTCAGGATGCTACTGTGGCCACCAGCAGGATCAGATGTCACTGTGGGGGGAGCCAAGAGGAGCCATGATAAGCCAGGTAATGCCAAGAACCAGACTGGAGCACACAGGGGCACTGGATCGGAAGTGATCTCTCCGTGGGCGGAACAGGAAGCAGAGGAGAGTGGTTACATGTTTCAAAGCCCTGCTGCTTCTTCCTCACATCATGTAGTGCCATAGAAACCATGCAAATATATTTCCACTATAAGTGGGGCCAGCAAGGGGACCAGAATGGTACACTATGAGACTGTAGCGCAGAAAGGTGAAGAAAGTTGGTTTGGAAACTTGCAAAGCAGGGGTCTCTTGAATGGGAAGCATGAAGGAGTGCAACGTAAATCATTACACTTATGCAGTGCTGGATTCAAGTTAATGTAAACCCTAAATCTATTTTTTTAGTATGATTGTACTCATGGCTTACTGTATACAGTTTTTATTAAAATGTCATTAAAATCATGAAAAACTGTAAATGCATGCTATGTTACATTGTGCTCATACTCTGTTACTAGAGCATTTTTTTTCTGCAAACTGTAAAAATTCTTGTTGATCCTGTTGTTCATGAATGATCCCTTCCTCCTTGTCTGTCCCCACTGCAGCATGAGAATGTGTAGAGCAGCTTTTGACATCTACTGAGCATGATCCAGTTTCAGTTCCCTTATAAGCTGTTCATTTTCTCCTTTTACTTACCTGTGCAGCCCATGTGACTATAGAGCCACATATGAGGAGGTCTAGCATTAGAATTATTGCTCTCACTCTATTGTTTGTGGCAATACCTCATGTGCTGCGAACACTGTTTAAATATGCGTGCGTGATTTATGTATGTGTTGCTTCTGTGTGCAAGCACGTAGGGATGGGGGCACTTTAAACATTTTTTTTCTTATTTGTTTTTTAAACTGTCCCTTTATTTTTTTTATCCCTTTTATTCAAATTACAAGAATGTAAACATTCCTTGTCAATAAGACCCCAAATATCTTCTTTACCTTTAAAAGCAAAAGATCAAAAAAAAATTTTTTTAACTTGTGCTTTAAAAAAAGTTTCCTTTTTTTATTTACTTCTGCTGCCGATCATATGTGAGGTCATAACGTCGCTCTGGTCCTCCATCAGGATAGAGCTGATCAAAGACCATAGAGACTTTCAACGTCTCCATCTTCAGCCAGCCGGTCTATCGCACTGGTTTTAATGGTAAGCCAGAGAAACACCGGCAAGCAGTGGGAAGGGGGCGTCCCCTCCCGTCGCTACAGAAAGCGCTCCAGTGGCTGAAGAGCCACTAGGACCACTTTGAATAGAAAGCTGTCCGTCAGTGGGGAAAAAATACTGGGGTTATGGCTGATTTCTTCAGGCACGGATACTTTTGTTTCAGCCAATGGAAGCTAGTTAATAACAGAAGAAGTGGCAAAAAATTGCATCTTTATGAAGCCTATAGGGATCAAAAATGCACAACTCTGCCCCATAGACGTTCATTTACTTTTTTATCTTTAAAGTGTTATTAAACCCATGACCCTGCATTCACTATATCTGGTCTCCCACAATATACAGAACATGGAAATGCAGTTATTTTATAAACTGCTAAATATATATATATAAACTATAAACTGCTTTTCTCATCAGCATTATACAGCAGTCTTGTGGCTTTTATCAGAGTCCAGCCGAGCACTGGTTAAAGCTTGTAGGAGGAGTTTTCATTCTCCTCTGACTGTTCTTTGAAGATGCATGACCCCTGAACCTCTGTGTGAATAGTGCTAATCACATGCAACCCCCCCCCCCAAAAAAAAAAAACAACAACCTGTTTAGCAATACATACCAAACTGAGCATGTACTATCAACAGATTGATTGGGAACTGTGGAAGAAGGAGAGGATCAGAGAAGACAGGATCAAATAGCCATTTTATACAATGCCAAGGATTAACCCCTTAGGTTCCAGTGAGTATAACAAAGCATGCTTTACTGCATATACAGACTGATTTTACTGTTGTGGGTTTAGTAACACTTTAAGTGACAAGCTTTAAGCGAAACAACACTCAAGCTTGAATGGGCATCAAAGAATTCAATGGGAATCCTCATGTTGAGAATTAAAGCACTTCAGGAAAAGTGTTTCAAGTCACTCTGGTGTGAACTAAGCCTTAGGACCATTTGCACAGGTGTTTTTGCACACTGAATCCCAGTGGCAGGAATCTACTGATTCCTGCTGCTGGGACTGACAGCTGTATGCGGATAGCAGGAGCCACCAAGACAGGCTGTTGCTGCCCGCAGCTTTTCATGCCTGTACACACAGTCAGCTATTTGCACGCACCTGTCAAGTAGATTTCTGCCACTGGGATTCATAGTCAAATGCCTGTGTATATGGTGCCTTTTAAACTGTTTCTTGATTTGCAAAACCTTTTGGCACTGTGATTTACTTTAAGTTTCAACACAGTCCTAGATTATAACTAAAGGCAAAACATTTTTTTAGTTTTGGATAGAGTTGAGATGGGTTGGAATACCAGTCAAGTTTTTATTACTACCTCTGTCCCTGTAAGGGAGATCCACCCTCTCTCTGTTTGTCCTGTTTACTATTAGTGAAAGTAAAAGAAAATTCTAAAGTATGGTTTTCCTCAGAGCAGTAATAGAAGGGAAATCTTGCAATGTGGACACTAGTTCTGGTGACCTGGAGACCCCAGGAGATTCCCTTAATTTGCAGGGATTTCCTTTAATTTCTTGTGTTGGCCATGGGACAGGAATTGAAATCTCTCCAACGGGGCACAGATGCCAGAAAAAAAAAATTGACAGGGGTTATAACTTTCCCTTACTCTATCCAAAATTTAAAAAAAAAGCTTTGCCTATAGTTCTGTTTTATTCAATGACCCAGAGCCAGCCTGGAAATAAAAAATTCTGATGTTAAGCTGACTACTTGCTGTAGCTGTATGCTTGTCTTAAGTATTTAACTCTGAAATTAATAAAGCCAGTGGCACCTAGGCAACTAGAACTTTCAGGTAGTCACAAATGGCAGCCTCCATGTTTACATCCATAAATATTTATTCTAAGAACAATTTGCTCCATTTCCCATTACAGAGAATAAAAATCAGTGTTCCCATTATCAAGGTTATATTTTGCTTTCCTAGTCATCCTCCTTTAGCTTACTCCTTTACACATTGTCAGTGTGATAAAGACATTGGTTGTCATCATCAGAATTTGTAAAGAATTGATTGCATGGCATAATGTGTTATTCACACCAGTATGATGTAACACCTTGTCACACATTTAATGAGGACATAACTGAATTCTATGCTACATCATCATCTGCACCACTCAAAAATCTGCCCGTCTATAAGACCCTTGCCTCCACTGCTACTCTGTCACTTGTCCATGAGATCTTCAGTGGCTAAAAGGGTTAAACTGTTAATGGAGCACAATAATTATCTGGATGCCATTTCTCACAAGTGTGCAAAAAACTGCTAGAAATATCTTTTTTTCCCCCTAAGATTGTTTATATCATGTTACAGGCTGACAGCTTCATTAAAATGCTGTTAAATTTGTCAGTCACGGGTGACTGCTGTTCAAAAAGAAGGGTAAAAAAATAACTTAAAAGCAGCCAAAATAGTGAATTTTTTATTGCAGTTACTGCA